CACCGCTGACCGGGAGCTGCTGGAGGTAAGTCCCTCCTGCCCCAGCCCTGACCCCCCCAAAACAGGAGCCCCCTCCAGCACCCCAAAGCTCATCCCCAGCCCCACCCAGAGCCCACACTCTACTCAAATTATGTTGGGTTGCGGCATCAACGATTTTCTTCAGCGGGTCATGAGAAAAAAACAGTTTGAAAACCACTGAGTTAGGCTGACTTATTTGTGCCATGCACGTTCACAACTGGCTTGATTCTCATGTACATGAAGGCCGCTTTGCATGGGTTTGGCAATGCAAAGGGGCCTTCAGATGAGCCTGCCTTTCATTTAGATCAGAGCAGGCGGGCCGGCCAAGCCACCGGCTGCAGACCATGGACCACTCTGCCGGGGCCCTCAGGCACGCAGCTTCCGGGATTGAAAGCACAGACTATGCTCTGCAGGGAGAGAGAGGCTTTGTGTGACCTCTCCATCCCCAGCCCAATCCTCAGCTCCTATTGGCTGGAAACAAACAGCCAATAGGACCTGAGAGATTGGCCTGGGAGATGGGGGCTGCACAAGCCTCTTTCCTTTCCCAGAGCTGAGAACCATGTGATTGGCCTAGGGATGGGGGCAGCACAAGCCTCTTCCTCCTCCTGGAGCCGAGAGCCACAGGTGGAGGCAGCAGCCTGCAGCTCTAAGTGATCTGGGGCAGCAGCAGGCAGGGAGCCCGGCCTGCCTTGGGGGTGCTGCAGGGCTGCTGGCACCTCCTAGCCAGAGCCTACCTCTGGCATCCCTGCCCCTCCTGTACCCCAACTCCCTCCCCCAGGTCAACCTCCAACCCCCCCTGCCCCAGGTCACAACTCCCTCCCAGATCCTGCACCCCCTTCTACACCCCTCCCCCAGGCCAGAATCCTCTCCTGCCCCCAATCCCTCTTTCAGACCCTGCACCCCATTCCCCTGCCCCAGATCACTACCCAAACCCTTTGCAGTCTGCACGTCTTTTCCCCCTTCCCTCCCAGATTTGCACCTCATCCTAGAGCCCCTCTCCCTGGCCAGAATCCTCTCCTGCACCCATACTCCTTCCTTGACCCTACACCCCAATCCCCTGACCCAGGTCCCAATCCCCTTCTTTACCCAAACTCCCTCTCAGACCTCACACTGTCTCCTGTACCCCAGGCCCTTACCCCGTGTGCCTTTCTGCACCCAACCTCCATCCTAGACCCCACACCTCCTCCACAGAAAAAGTGCGGGCCTTGACCACTTTCCAAAATTTTGGAGTGGCCCCTCACCAAAAATTATTGCCCACCGCTGATTTAGATTGTTTGTGGGGAAACTCCTGGGAGTTTTGGAGTTTTATAATTGCCAGATGCCTGCAGAGCAGGTGTGAAACACTAACCGATCAGAGAGAGAACTTCTTACAGACACTTTGCACAAGTGCAACGGAGGAGACATGCTGAAAGGCAGGCGAGAATCGAGCCCTCCCTACTCTGGGTAGCTGCTCAGGCGTTGGATCATTTGCAAGTGGCTAAGGCCAGCTGGGCATAAATAATACACTGGCAATGAAGCCAACTTTCTGGGTGTGCGGGTGTGAATGTGCAACACAATACTCACCAACAGCCGGCCTCACGAGGATGGGGTTGGACTCTGGTGAGCTGTCACTCACTCCTGCTTCATTGATAGTTTTCACACAAAATACATACTCCTTTCCAGGCTGGAGCCCGGGGACAGTAAATCTATGAGAGATCATTAATTTGCTTGCATGTTGCTGGTCAAAGTACAAGTCGAACCTCTCTAGTCTGGCACCCTCAGGACCTAACCAGTGCCAAACCAGAGAATCTGCTGTAGTAAGTTGAGGTCAGTAACGAGTCAGCAGGCCTAAATAGAGGCCTATAACATGAAAACAGCAACAGACCTGCAATCTAGTGAGCAAGACTTTGGTTCAGTAACAGGAGCCAAGAAAGAGGCCCTATTGATAAATTGTGTGATTGTGTAAGTTAGGTCGAGCATGGAAGGACACAGGGAGGCACTGGGTACAGACTGTGAGCCAAAGGGGAGTATTGGAACATCTTAATAAGAAATGTCTTGGTACAAAAACTCCCTAAAAACTAATGCACATACTGGCCTAGGTTCAGGACCAGGTCGAGATTGACAGCATGAAGGATAGTAAGTGAGCCCCCCTTCCACAAGGTGAGGGGTGGTAACTAGGCAACAGAGGGTGGTAACCTGGTGCGTAAAGAAATGATGTAAGTTGTTTGTACCTGTCTATAAAAGGACACCGCAGAGGGTGCTCTCCGGCCGACCTTGGGGGGGGGCGCACTAGGTGCCTGAACAGCAGGTGTCATTGCTTAAACTTACAGAGTAGCTTAACTTTGACTAACTGCTGTTAATATCTGTTATATGGCAATAGGCCTGCCCGGTGTTGGTACCTTGTCAACGCGGGCCATAGTGCCCAGGGGTGTCACATTGTACTGATCTCTGTTACCAACTGGTAGAGCTTCGCATTTGACAATAAACCTGCTCGATTGATTTCAAACCTTGCCTGCATCTGTCGTTTCCGGGGCCTCTCAGAGATCTCTTGTGTTGACCCAAGTGCACGGGGTCTAACGCTCTAGATAAAGGGAGTACCCATTGTTACGCACGCAGCCGAAAGTTTAACAACGGAGTAGAGGTCCTGTCAGGAGTGCGCCAGGACAACCCTGACCAGACGACGCTGACACTGACAGTCGAGACCACCGAAGGTACCGAGGTACGAAAACACAGAGGTACGACAACTGCCACATCACAGGAGTTCAATATTTTCTAGCAGCGTTACCAACACATCCACTGTATACTGAAACATTTAGGGGTGGAGCTAAATGACAGCACAGAACACTGAGACCCAGGACTATGGCTGTAAACAAACTTTATGGGACTGCGGGAAACTTGGCCACACTCGTGCTAAGTGGAACATCCGGCTCACTCAAATCACGCTGGACCACGGATATTGCAAGATCAGAGAGTGCCGGACTATAGAGGTTCAACCTGTAGAAGCAAAAAGCCCTGGGTCTGTCTACACTAGCCCCCTAGTTCGAACTAGGGAGGCTAATGGAGGCATTCGAAGTTGCAAATCAAGCCCGGGATTTAAATATTCAGCGCTTGATTTGCATCTTCCTGGCCAGTCGCCATTTTTAAAATTTACAAGTCCGGACTAACTGCCCACATCTACACGTGGCAGGGACCCAGTATTTCGAATGAAAGCCCTTAATCGAACTACTTGTTATTCCTCCTGCAAGGAGGGCTTGATATGCAACTTCGAATGCCTACATTAGCCTCCCTAGTTTGAACTAGGGAGCTAGTGTAGACATACCCCCTCTGAGGGGGGAAAAACAGCATTTGAATAATTTAATCCGCGTGTTACCATTTATTTCTGTGCCTTGAGGTTATTTATCCTATAGCTTAAATGTGTTGGTTCGCACACATGATATCTACAGAACAATCAGTAACTAGGGGTCAGGTCCCAAGGGTTGCTGAGTGGCTCCTAAACACTACCAATTCCCAGTGAACTCAACGTGCTTGGTGGGCACGCGGCACTCCTCAATACCTGAACCCTACAAAAGACACTTTAGTGAAGGTCTTCTGCACCTGGGCAGACTTGGAAAGAGAGGGGGGCTTACTGGCTGTATCCTAGCTCTTCTTATTGGGTCAAAGTCTCCTTCACACCCAGGTCCCTTTACACAGCTCCGCAGAGCAGCCTTAATGTAAATGAGAATCAGGGCCCATTGAGTTTCATTCTGACAGGTATCTTTGCTCTGACGCTATCAGCGCATTTTACTCTGGGGTGACTTTGCATCTCCTAAAACTCATTCCTTGGGAAGCACTGATTTCAGGCCATAGCCAAAGGTGTATTTTGTGTGGTCTAGTGATGAGAGAACTGGACCGGGACTCAACAGACCAGGGTTTTACTCCTGACTCTGCTACTAGACGGCCGGTGCCTTTGGGCAAATCACTTCCCACATCTGTAAAATGGGCATAACAATACTCACCTTCTTTGTAAAGTGCTAAAAAGGAGCTAGGTATTATTACAGGCATTCTCCCATTTTATTAACACCAGGCCTATAACAAGAGTGATTCCCTTGAGCCCCATTCTTGTAAGATGACACATTGTTCTACTCCACAGCAAATGCCAATGGCCTGTCACTGCACAGACACTGTGGGATCTACTTACCCAGCAATGACTATGTTCTTAGATGGAAACATGTGCAACTTTGCTGCCCCCCCCCATTAACCTGCCTAAGATGTGACACTAAATAGAACTGAATAATGATTTGGTTCTAAACGCAGGCAAAGGTTTCGCATACGGGGCACGTGTGTGTGGGTAGGGAAATCTGCCCTCCATTCTTACCATAAACACAGAAAGCCAAGAGAATGCACCATATTTTCTGAATGGAGGTCAATGGCTTGAACTCACTTGTTACATGTCACGGGTTTATTGTTGACAGTCTGCCATTCGTCTGTCCCCACCTCGCGACAATATATGTAGTAGCCGAGGGGCTCCTGACTGTCCTTCAATTTATCCCAGTGCACAACCACAGACGTCTTGGTATCTCTGAAAGCTAGAACCTGGGAGGGAGGTGGGAGGGGAGCTGAAAAAGGGGATAAAACGGAACAAAAAAAAGTTTATTCTATTTCCAAATTGTAACTCGGTTCCATGGGTGACTCGGGATGTTTGATGTTTTCATGGTCAGTGCATCTTTTCCCAAAGCAGAGCACAATGGGCACGTGTCTGTCACTGGATTTATACGCCTCATTCTCCTCTCACAGCCATTGATCTCACTGGAGTTAATCCTGGTGACCTACCTACACTGGAGGAGAATCAAGCCCAATTCCCAACTGCACAGGCTATTTTGGGGCCAAAATACCCAGGCCACACTATAAGAGGGGAGTGGCCACAGACACAGAACACCACAAAGGAACTTCAGGCCACCTTTAACAGAGAGACTGGAAAGATCAGCATGAGGCCTACTGGCTTAACTTTGGCGTGACATGGGAATCGTGGGTGTGAGTCTTTGCATCCTCCTATCCTAGACATCTCTGACCTATGAGGAAATAAAAGTGTTACACAATTATCCTCCCAACCAAACATCCCTGCTGCTGCTCATTCGGCGAGCCCAGAGACTGACTCCGTCACCCATCACTGCAGAATGAGGCTGTGCCCTAAGGATGTTAAGTATGGGATAACGGACTAATCAAATAGTTGATGCATTTTGCATTGATTATTCGATTAGTCGATAGGGCGCCTCTGCCTTTGAATGGTAGCAACAGCCCTAGGATTGTTGCTACACTCCGTGGAGCCCAGCTGATCCCCGGCTCCACATGGTGCTGCCGCTTTGAAACGCCACTTGCGGCCTGGGGAAACCCTATCTGGCCCTGGGCTGGATGCAGCTTTTCAAAACGGGATCTGGCCCCAGGCTTCAAGTGGTGCTGCCACTTTGAAATACCCCCTTTTCTTCCCTCCCTCCACTTCCCTCCCCCCACTTATCTGATAGAGGCAGCAAGGGGAGGGGAAGCGACTAGTTGACTATCCTGTTGACTAGCCAACAAGCATTTGCTCATCGGATAGGTGACTAGTCCTTCACATCCCTACTGGGACCTTCCTTTTTCATACAATCACAGAACACTAGAACAGGCAGGGACCTTGAGAGGTCATCGAGTCCCGTCCCTGGCCCTCACTGCAGGACCAAGCACCATCTAGACCATCCCTGACAGGTGTCTGTCCAACCTGCTCTTCAATATCTCCGGTGATGGAGATTCCACAACCCGCTAGGCAACTTATTCCACCCTGGCAGGTAGGAAGTTTTGTGCAGCTACGTGCTCAATCTGCCTTAGAGCAAGCGTAATCCACCTGCTGGGTGTGGGTCACTGCCCCATGGAGAGGCACTTCGACCAGTTACAGAGAAAAAGAATGTGTTTGCTCTGCAGCCATAGCTGAGAGCCAGCTGGCTTTTAACTCAAGCAGCCTAGGCTCGTGCACTAAGCTCCAGGGCTCCCCGCACTGGAGACATGAGCAAGTGCCGGAAGCGTGCATGGAATGGAGTGGAGGGACTTGATCTGTTTCCTTTCTTTAATGATTTTAATTCCAGCCTCACTGGCCGGTTCGATTTACACTGTGCTAACCGACTGCGGTGCGATGACGCTTGCATTTAAGGCATTTTCCATGTTGTCAGTGTCATGCTCTTTATACTGTTACCTAATTTTGTACCAGCAGCAATGGGCTCACTGGGCAAGGATGGCTCGCTCACTCCGTACTTGTTGGCACAGCGCACTCGGAAACAGTACGGTTTTCCTTTCACAAGATCAAACAGCGCAAATCGCGGGGAATTCACGGCCGTCTCCAGATTGACGTTTTGCCAGCTGTTGCTGCCTGCCAGGGACTGACAAGGAAAAGATGGCGATTGATGGTTTAGAGAGATGAAAACCGTCTGTCCTCCTGTGTAACTGAGTATCTGTGAAATCAAGAACTCGTGTGCCTGAACTAAATATTTCTGGGGGGCAAATCTAGCCCCTACCTCGTCAGCCACAGCAGGCCCTTTGCAGCACAGCTGGTGCAGCGCGGCTGTGCAGGTGGGGGATGAAGCATGTGGGGCAGATCTGACTGGAGCATGCAAATGTCTGAGAAGAGCCAAGGCAGCTTGCTACAATGCAGTTCCTCCCATCCTCTCCACTGCTGATGGCCAGGTAAGGCCCAGTGGAGGCTACTCCTGCCATACAGTTGAAGTAGCCACCAGCATGTCACCTATGGAAGGAAGATTCCTTCCTCCCATCCCCTGGGTTGGCTCTTGTAAATGTAGTCCTAGCGACAGGGCACAGGCAGCTCCCCACACACCACCTGCTCCGGGTGTCTCATTTGGGTCTGAAGTGACCGTGCTTAGGAGAGCGCATAGCTCAGCATCCGCACCCCATTGCCTCGCTGCTGAGGCCACCCGCAGGGGCACCAGGTGTGATGTGGAAAGCTTCCCTTCAGGGAACTGCGACCCACCCACAGCTCACTGGACACAGCCAGCCACTGACACGCTGGGAGCAACATTCTGTCACTACTGACCTTGTAGGCCTCCGAGAGGTAGCCCAGAGTGAAAGGCGCAGGATGTTCCACTCCCAGTCTCCAGAGGGGCAACACTCACCCTTCCGTGGATTCGTTCCTCACCTTTTCCACATAGTAACTCAGTGGCTCCTTGCCCCGGGGATCTGGTTCATCCCAGGCAAGGACCACGTAGTCTTCTTTGATCTCACTCGCGTGAACATTGGTAGGAGGCAAAGGAATTTTAATCGTGCCTGTGGGAAGCCGGAAGTTGATACTGGTTCAGTGATTACATCGGCCAGTGTAGACATGGCCTGGGAGCCCAACACTATGGCTAATACCCAGTCAGGCATTGCAGCAGAGAGCAGAACAACCCCAACACGCCTTTAAAAATCTGGGCTGTTGTCACTTTTAAAAATGGGACTTGGGCCCTTCTGAAAATTGTATTTCATAATCCTTTGCTTCTAGCAAAAACTCTACACTACTCTGTGCTTCATCCAATCATGAGTCTAACAGTATCGAATGGCTCCCTGGTAAACTGGCCTTGGATCCTGGAATGCTTCTGTTTTCTTGGAGTGTAAGAAAACATTTTCCTGTGTATATTTCCCCTAGAGTCCTAGGAAATATCATTTTGGCATCCTTGTGCTACTGCAGGCATTCATCTATGAAAGGAGGGTTATGTTTATGTTTGAACTTACCTTCCAGTTCATCTTTGGAAACTGTAATCTTCTTTCCGTCATCATAAGGGATAGCTAGTGATTAAATAAAATCTGTATCATTCACCTGGAGAAAAAGCTACACGTTTTGTGGAAAGGCAGAGACAAGAACCCTGGGTTTGCCCATATACACACAAAGCCCATAAACTGGGGCAGTTTGGCCTTCTCTCTGCCAGCAGCTGGTTGTACCAAGAGAAGTACAACAAACTGAAAACTAATTAAACAAATATAGTAACTCACTTGAAATTGAAAAACCACCAAAGCAGAGTTCGACCCGTTTTAGGCCAAGGTTTGGTTTACCCGTTGCCACTTTTGTCTTCTCATTGCAACCACTCCAGACAGGCTGGGGTGTGCGAGCAGAGACTGAGAGTGTCTGGGTAAGGGGGTTACCCACAGAATGATCAGGGCAGACCCTCACGTGGTGCCAACTGTCCTGGTTTCATTGGCTTCCCTGGAGCGCTGAGGATTTACACCTGCTGAGGATCTGCCCACGGTCTTTTCCTACCCAGCACTACTCACAAAGTGACAACGGTGGAATAGGCCGGTCTGCCTCCAGCTTTTTCAGGCCAGACCAAGACTTCAAGGGGATTCCCTCGAGCGGAGGCATGTTTGCAGCGTAAGTGCTGCAGTGATGTCTGTGAGCCTGGGACACTTGGGGTAAGTCAAACTGCAGTCTCACAGAGCACAGAGGGGAATGATACCCTGTTGCTGATTGTGACGGCGCGTTGGGAGTCCCCCGTCTCCTGCACCCCGAAATGGCACAAACAGACTCCACCAGCCAGTGGAACTGAGGGTGGTTTATTGCTCCTCCAGGATACAGCATAGCACAGATGTAATCTGGTTACAGGAACTGGGGGCCAAGAGGCCTCAGTGCCCCCCTTGAGATAGGGGAATCCCAGCTCCCTCCCCAGTTCCTTCTCCCCTGCTTTCCAGACAGGAACTAACTCCCCCTCTTCCAGCCCTGCCCCCAGCCAGGGCAGCATCCACCTCCCTTTGTTTCTCCCCATGGGGGGTTGGTTCAACCGGTATGGTACCTTTGCATAATAAGGTTTTCCCTGCTGGGTCTTGCTCCAGACAGAAGAGGTCACCACAGCCCAGCAAGTACCCCCACTACATCACACTGATACCTACTCATCACTCTTTTTTCCTCATTGGGGTCTTTCATTGTGACTGGGTCGCTGGCCTTGGAAGGGTTACTGATGCCTGAGTGGTTGACGGCCTTCACCCGGAACTGGTACGTCTTCCCCTCCATGAGGCACAAAACAGGGCACCTGCAGGTCTTCACGGGCATTTCGTTGCATGGCTCCCACTCGTCTGTGCCCGCCTCGCGCCTGCAACGAAGCACAGACCATGCACACGGGAGTCCCCCAGTGTGGCAGTGGGCCTTCTGCAGGCTGTAACTTTTGTAAAGGGACCACTCAGTGCAGCAAATGGAGCTCAGTGCTCACAAGACTGCGGGCTGGGAACCTGCTGCTTTATTTCACTGCGTCTGCATCACAACATAATGGGGGTGGGGGGAGAAGAAAACTCCCACTGATTAAACAGGAATTGAGGAGTGGAGCAGGGGCCCATTCCAGAACAGCCTGCGTGTCCCTGCCCGGTGACACTACCAGGGCCCCTACACTACAATAGCGTCAGAATCGTACCGACCTTTCGATAAGATAACCACAGACCGGACTTGCTCCACTATCGCTGGGCGCTACCCAGGAGAGGAGCAGGCAATCTTTATTTACATCATGGCACTTCACATTGAGCGGGGAACCAGGTGCACCGGCGGTTGCTGCCGCAGCATCTAAAAGAATATAGAGCAATGCCAGTTACATTGTTTTCTCCCCGTGTTCTGAATAGTTTAGTCTCTAAATGCCGCTGTCTACAGAAAGAGGCTGCCATTTAGTGTTCAGCTTGCTGCAGATTGCAATGGACAACACACACACTGTGCTCTCTCTCTCATGGAGCGATGTATTCTTTCTTCTCCTTATCCTTCATTGGTAATGCAGTAGTGCAGGGGTGGCCAACCCATTCAATGAAGAGCCGCACCAGAATTGTTGAGCCAAAAAAAAAAAAACCCCCACAAAAAACGAAGAGCTCCCCACCAGCCAGAGTTGTTGAGCAAAAAAGGACACTGCCCCTTTAAAAACTACAGGTTAGGCTTTTTGGCCACATCAGGTTCCCGCTGCCACCAGTGAGCAGAGGGAGCCAGGGCCATTTGTAGGGGCGCAGGGGGCAGCTTCACGTGCTGTACTTTCAGGGGTAAAGAGCCACATGCGGCTCATGAGCCACGAGTTGGCCACTCCTGCGGTAGTGCTTAGGGCACCCTGGGATGCTAGACACTGTACAAAGGGAGAATTCACAATCTGATCTACGCTCTCTCGTTTCACTGTTCTCTCTGGGAATATATAGAAAACAAACAGTCTGATCCACATGGTGAGGGAAACATTCACTTTGTAAACCTGTAGATAAATGTATTTAACACTAAGAGGAAGACATCACTCCAAACAGCCATAAGAGGAGCTTCCTATATTATACTGTGACCCTAATACATGCACAAGGATTGGAAAATATTAGCAATCCAGTTCTGAATAATTCATATTGTGAGTAATTTCTTTTCAGATTAATAACAAGGTCAGTTTTTTTAAGATACTGAGAAGACAAGAGCTGACCTACTCAGCGTATTAGAAAATAATCCAGCATTTGATCAGAGTGAAAACCATTTGTCATGCTGATAGAGCAAACAGGCTCTGCAATTAGAGGAGGACAGCTGACAAGCAACCTTGACCTTGCCTTTTAAATATGACTCATGGCAGTTCTGTAAATCTTGTTCCTGAAAGCCCATGGAGAGTGCCGCTGCCCTCTGTTTAGCCATTAAGGCCGCGGTGGGCAAATACCAGTGTGTGGCCCCGAGTCAGTCTGCCAGCGTTAGCCCCTGGCAGCCCTCGCACCACCATATTTACCTGTGCCTCCGCAGGTCCGGGCGATTGCAGGTCCCGTTGGCCGTGGATCGCTATTCCTGGCCGTGGGAGCTGGGATCGCCTGAACCTGCAGGTAAATAATTGCAGCAGTGGCCCAGCAGGGGCTAGCCCTGGGACTCTGCTGCTGTTGTATTGCCCACCCCTGCATTAAGGGTGAAGCTGGGTTCCCCCATCGGTTCTGAGATGTGACACAGACCATTTCTCGGAGGGAAGGAATTCTCCACTGCGTCAGAGTGTGGGTGGGGCCAGGCCTAGCAGTTTGGGAAGGCAGTGCCTTCGCCTGCCTCCTGTACCCACCGCCCTGCTTTAAACAGGATAGGAAACGGGGGTACCTCTAACAAACACGTAAGCAGACTGTTCGTGGTACCCATCCAGCGTAGGGACACGGACAGTGTAGAATCCCTCATCTTCCTTGTGAGCACACGACACGGTCAGAGAAGCCTCACGATCCAGACACGTCATTTGCTGGCGATCGGAATCCTTCAGAAACTCGCCTACGGGGAGATGAAAACTCAGTGAAACTCCCTCTGGACTGCCCTATTCAGAGGGGAGGGTGCTGCAGGGGACCCTGGCCTGCACCTGCACAGCTCTGCCTCCCAGCCAGCAAGGCCCAGTGCCTCCAAGAGATTCGACTTCGGTGGGAGCGACGTGCATGAATTCCTTCGAGCTGCTGGGCCCGAGTAGCTTCTGCCTAGGGGCAGTTGGAGGCATTGCCGGGGAGCGCACCGCTAAGCTCATTAGCCAATGAAGAGAAAGCTTCAGCCCCGTCTCCTGAGGCACACTCATGGGCTGGCCTCATCCGCCTTCTATTGGTTGCTTTTTGCTTGTGCTGGACGCCGACACAGGCGGTTTGGGAGTAATTCTGTTCACTCTCAGGCTACATCTACATTGTACATTCTTGCGCAAGAAGATATGTAAACGAGGTGCGGTGATGAATATTGCCACACCTTATTTGCATACCTAATGAGCCGCCATTTTGAGCCAGGGGCTTTTGCGCAAGAAGGAGCAGTCTATAATGCTCCTTCTTGTGCTAAAACCCCCTCTTGCGCAAGAGCTGTTCTACCGCTTATTTTCAGGCAGAACGGCTCTTGCGCAAAAGGGGGGGTTTGCGCCAGAAGGAGCAGCATAGGCTGCTCCTTCTTGTGCAAAAGCCCCTTGTGCAAAATGGCAGCTCATTAGGTATGCAAATGAGGCGCAGCGATATTCATCACCATGCCTCATTTGCACATCTTCTTGCGCAAGAATGCGCAGTGTAGACGTAGCCTCAGGAAATAGCAGCCATTTGCCCTCAGGGCCACTAGAAGCCACGACTCTTTGTTACAGTACTCAGCACTTTTCTCATATAAAGGAGCTCAGTAGCTTCATTTCACAAGTCAAGAAACTGAGGCATGGAGCAGGGACCGTGACTTGTCTAAGGTCTCCTAGCAAGCCAGTGGCAGAGCCAAGATTAGAGCCCCATGCTCAAGCGTGCACCAAACCAGAGTAAGTTGCCTCTATCCCCAGCTCTTGGGAGAGTTCAGATGTGGATCTGGACTCTGGCTCGGGCCCATCTCTAGATCACAGCACGGTCTGCTGAGTCTCCTTGTGAGGCCAAGGCAGTCTTCCCGTGTTACTCCCGGGACAGGTGCAGCCTCCCATAGCTTAAAAGTACAGGGGCAAATGGCGTCCTGGAAAAGCCCAGTGCTCTTGATTCTGCAGCTGACTGCTCTGTTGTGACATGTCTATCTCCTATGGGCTGCCTAGGAGGTCTGCATTTTACTTCATTCACCAGCGTCTCCTCTGGCTTCACAGGAATATAACAGCACCACTGTGCACTTTCACCATGGAGAACCAAGGTTTCTAACGACTCTTTACAAACCCAAATGTCTCGCTGCCCAGGCCACCCCACAAAGCAGGTGTCTTAGCCTTGTTTGACACATTCAGGAATGGAGGCCCAAGTCAAGTTATGGTTAGAGCAGAGCTGGGACTAGAACCCAGAAATCTTGACACCTCGTTCTCTTCTGCAAGCACTGGGCCAGGGCTTAGAGGGGAGAGCAGCCGTCTCAAAGAAAGCTGTGTCGCTAGGAATACACACCGTCTCTGAGCCAGGTGACATCGCGCTGGTGTGGCAGTAGATCAGAAGAAAAGAAGGACGAGAGAGTGAAAGGTTCCTTTTCCCTGGAGAACAGCGGTTTCAGTGAAAAGGCAAAATCTGCCTCCTGGCTGATGAGCAACCCTGCGAAACCAGAGCAGCCGTGAGGAAGGCTACAGGTTTGTCACAATGGCCACAGAAACTGGGTTAGAATCAAGGCCCCTCGACCGAGGGCTGTTGTAACCTATGTCCTTTGCAAGGTCACCCACGTGTCCTCTGCATCTCCTGAGAGGCAGATGGACCAAACCTGACTGGAGCAGCAGCCCCATGTGACAGTCACAAAGCCCAGTGCAGGCAGCTGACTTCAGGCCTTGGAACAGCAGTTGCCATTGTCACCCTCCCCCCCATCCCCTTTTGTTTTTTCCCTCCACACCTTTGCTACGAAATGTACTAAAAGTTTCCATACCAAAATCGTAGCCACTGTCACAGTAAAAACCAGGAGCCTCCTTGGTTTGTGCCATTATCGTAATAATTCCTCTAATGCCACGTGCATGGTGCTTTTCATAAACAACATGCTACAGGGAAGAGTCCCCCTGTCTGAAGGTTCCAGGGAGCCTCAGCCCGTATGTAAAAACGCAGCAACAATTTACTCACTCTTGTATATTTCTGAATCGAATCCTGACTCCTTCTCATAATATTCTGTAAAAGAAGGTGGCGGGGATGGGAGAAATAAACACATTTAACAAATTTGTGTTTCAACATTTATCTTCTTAATACTATGCAATGATATTTAACTCTTATTGAGTGTCTCACTTCTTCAAAGCTTTCAAGTACTAGCTTTCAAAACATACCTGGTGACTTTTCTCTGCAAGAACACTGTCCAGCATAGAGCCTTTTACTAGCTTAACAAACCGATAAGACTTATTTGAATCACAACCGAAATGCAGCCACCTCTGGGGCAGAGCATGGCATCTACTCAACACCTCATAGCAACACTGCACAACACCACAGGGAAGACAAGTATTCTGTTGAAAGTGCTGGGGAGATTTAGAACAGCAGAACATACTAGTCATTGGAGCTGGAATATGGCCTAAACACTGAGACTGAACTACTATACCACTGCAGAAAACGATGTAGAATCTTTGACCACAAGTGGCCTGCGCTTCAGGTTTGTGACTCGTTCCAAGGACAGCATGTGCAGAAATACAGAACATTCCACGATTATGGTCTCAGTACTGGCTCAGAGAAAAGTGTTACATGTTGAATCAGCACCTATTGTAACACCTTCGTGTTTCTTGCCGATCTGTCCCATGAAAACAAGGATCCTAGCCAAACCTTAAAAACCTGCTGGCATCACCTCACAGTCTAGTGGCTTTGAGTTTGATGCAATTTAATCATGCTTCTGAAGGAATCAAAGAATAAATACACCCAAAACAAGATGCAACTAGTGGCAATTTATTCACTCCCTCTGTCTCTTCCTCCCCAGCTAGCTAGCACATGGCAATTAAAACAGATGGAATTCAGAATTTCAAACCAGGACATGCTACTGTCTTTTCAGAAGTGATTTTCTGTTGCTGTGAAGAAAGGATTTTGTTGGGAAGGCAGCCAAACCTTTGCGTTGCTATGAGGAAATCCCACATTCCAAAGTTGCCTCTCACTTGGTTCCATCTGTCCTGGGCCACAATGGATCATGAAAGTGGCGCACTTTGTGCGTGGCAAGAGGAGTGGTGAAGGGAAAGCATTAGCCCTGCTGGTCAGGTCGAAAGGATGGCCCTAGCCATATGAAGCTGTGTGACAGTGTAACCCACACACCTGCTGGGTGTGGTGCCCGTTCCAGCGAGTGGTACAGAAACCACGCACAGAGAGAAGTGGGAGAGTGCTCCGCAGCCCCCAGACAAGCAGGGTCTGTCGGCGTTATGATGGTATTACACAGTTACGGGTGGCAGACGGCACGTGGCTGGCAATGGTGCAAGAGGGGAAATGGAGACCATTAACAGGATGTGCTAGTTCATGAAGGATGACAAAGGGCCCCTAATAACATTAATAGGCAGGGCAACTCCCCTAATCTAAAGAACCGCTTGGGCTTGGCAGTCCCAGGGCTCCCTTCAAGCTGTGCAGCTGGGCAGCCACCCAGGAGAAATTCAGATGCTGCCCAGCTGGTTAGCAGAGCACCCACAGCCACCAGCGTGTGTTTCTATGGATGGTGCACATCCACACACGCCTCAGTGCATATAACTAAATGTATTCCACACATGGAAAAAATTAAAGGAGACATTAATGCCCAGACCAAAGGCACAAGAGAATGGCTGCCTGGAGCCAGTTCAGTGGGACATGGAGAGCTTCCAGGGCGTGCAGGGTATAGGGCTTAGCTTAGGAGTCTAGGCTCAGGCTGTTCAACACAAATAGCAGAAGGAAGGGATGTGTCACCAGGATGGCATCAGGCAGCCAGGGGAGAAAGGGCAGTGCAGGCTTGCCGACCGCAAACGTAAGAAACAAATATTTGAGGTGCCAATAGCATGGAGTCCTGCTCTGACCAGACACTTCAGAAAGGAGAATTTGATCTCATACTAAGTGGGGCAAGGACAGCTGGCTCATCCACAGAGATTTCTATAATAGATTCCAAGATTCCAAGGCCAGAAGGGACTACTGTCATCAGTTAGTCTACAACTGAGGCCACAAAACCAAGGCCACAAAACTCCTCCAAAATAATTCCTAGAACAGAGCATGTAGAAAAACATCCCAGCCTGCTCTGAAAATGTCCGGTGATGGAGAATCCACCACAACCCTTGGAAAACTGTTCCAGGGACTAATTAGCCTCATTGTTTAAAATTTACATTTCATTTCCAGTCTGAATTGGTCTCTCTTCAATTTCTAGCCATTGGATAGTGCAAGACCTATCTCTGCTAGACTGAAGTGCCCATTATTAAATATTTGTTAACCATGTAGTTACCTCTAGACTGTGAGCAAGTCATCCCATAATATTCTTTTTATTAAACTAAATAGATCGAACTCCGTCAATCTAGCCCTGCAAGGCAGGGTTTCTAATCCTTTAATTATTCTCATGGCTTTTCTCTGAGTCCCCTCCCATTTTTCTGACTGTTGTTTAACATCCCCCTGAGATAGTGGGATGGAAAGAGCGATTGAACTGTGGGGTATTGAAATTTGTGTTAAAATTTTAACTTTAATTCCCCTGGGTTTTCCTGTGGGTTCCAAGGCTCCGTGGGGAAAATGATCTGGATTTTTCAGCAGTCGGTCCACAAGAACCAGCCTCAAGTAAGGTAGGGGTGAGTTGTGACTACCTTAGGGAGCAGCCCATTTTCTCTCGGTTTGGTTTCCTGCACTTTAGTATTCTGGATTTTAAGAAATAAAGTTGGTTACGTTGCCACCTTTTAGAAAGAGCCTTTCGTGTTTGTATCTGATTTCTCTGTGGGTGTGCCAGGAACATGACAAGAATCATTCACCTTGTTCTGTTGTCATGCCTGTTCTGTTGCTACAAGCAGGGTTTGAAAAAAAGAATTGGGAGAGAGGAAAGTTCTCCATGACAGCGCTCCCTCTCAGCTGTATGCTCAGACAGCTGCTCAGGAGAAATTCAAATGTCACCTAGCTGCTTAGCAGAGCACCCAGAGCCAGAAGCATCTGTTTATACTGGTGGTGCACATCAACACATGCCTTGGTGCAGAGAACATTTATTTCACACATGGACAGAAAAATTTAGAGGGAAAATTAGCCCATGATCTTTTTTGTGCATGTTATTCAAACCATACTACTTCTGCCTTTGGAAGTAGTGGGAAGTATTTGCCAGTGCTGTGTGCTACTTGTTTTCATGCCACTTTGCCTATCAGCACCAAGACACTTTAATTCCCATTGTAGAATTTATAGCCAATTCAGGGCTGTCTATCGAAGCCCGTTGGAATATGTCTAGCCCCTCATGGAAGGATCTCATTTCTGCTGTCTTGTTCCAGGATTTACTTATAGTTTTATTCTCCTGATTCTTAGAGATAGAAAGTCTGATTTTCCAAGTTGCATAGAGACACTAAAGTCAATTGGTTCTGTGAGTTCTCTCACCACCTCTGAAAACCAGGTGAACATAATAAGTCATATAAATACGGCAGTGTGGTGCTCCTTCTCCATGACAGCCTAACTTTTATTCACACGTTCTCTGCCTGGGCAGCCCAATAAATTGTTCTTTATTGTTTTCTCAGCTGCCAATATATACCACCATCCAATAAACATTGCACGCTGACGCCCATGTGGATCCACTGCTTAGCTTTCTGGAGTTCACCTTTGCTCTGTTTGGATGGTGAAACTTGCAAGAGTTTATGGAAGAAAATTATGCTGGTAGGTGAGTTTTTTATTTGCATCCCCGAGGAGAGGATGAGAAAACAAACAACATGAGACAGATGCTAGCTGCACTGCTGAATGGAAGGAGCTCCTCGACTACGCAGAGGAACCAGATATGAAACTAATCGTATAGGATAGTTGTACAAACTGGAAAGCCTTGCAAATTAGTGGCTGCCATTGTTATTATTGAACCAACTCTACTTATAACAACATTTTTAGTTCGCTAGGAATTAAAAAAAATTGTTTTCAATTTGACCCAAAACATTAATCAAAATTTTCTGCAAATCAAAAAGTTAAAAAAAATTGCTTCCAAGCTGAACAAAAAGTTTCATTTTGATTCTAAGCATTTTAAAAATTGTTTTGGTTGTTTTAATGAAAGTAAAGGAAATCTTGAAACAAAAAGTAATTTTGCATAAAAAAATGGAAACTTTTCTGATTATTTTAGGGGGGTTCGTTACCAACTCAAGTTGGTGAAACTGACAAATTTGCAGAACATTTGGGTGTTGCCAAATCTGGTTTGTTTTTTTTTTTGTCGCCTCCTTCCCAAAGCTTTATGCATAAACCTTGGCCCAGTTCTAATAAGTGAAGATCTGTCCCTAAGGGTGTGTCTACACTGCAACCAGAGCTCAAAATGAGCTACGCAAATTGCATCGTTTATTTTGAGTTAATTTCAAAATAGCCTATTCTGAAATGTGGCGCTATCTACACAGCACTTATTTCAAAATAAATCGCCAAACGTCCCTTACTACTCAAGGGACATTGGAATGGCGAACCCATTTTGAAATAACGGGTGCACTCAAAAGATGCGAAATAGCGCTGCAGTGTAGATGAAGTGTAACTGGAGTGCGTACCTGTGTGTGTGCATGCTGAAGTCTGAATTCCATGGGGCACTATTTAACAATGGATTTTAGAGATATCATAAACAAAACATGACCCTTAAAACTCTCTGCTCCTGTGAAAACTGAGTCTACAAAGGGGATCCAGATTTTATCAATGCACAACATGCAAAGAAAAGGAATGGGGATAACATGGTCCAGAGCAGAGATTTAAAAAAAATTAGCACAAAATGAGTCAGATTTCGTTTTAAAAACCCCATTTGTCTGTGTAACCAATCAAGCGGGCTTTGCATCTCATATTGCTGCAGCAGCTCATCTCTCTCCTACCAATAAGACCTTTGGAGCAGTCAGATTACCTCCTATGTCCCATCTCTGCTATTCTATTGCCCGTGTGGATCTCACTGGGCACGTTTAGCTATCTATAGTTCTGTAGGTCTATTCCAGTCCAGGCTTTTAAGACAGGATTGTTTTATATATAGATTAGAAATGTCAAGGTCTGAACAATGACCCCGTGAGATGCCATTGCATATTCCCCAAAGTTTGGCATGATTTCCCTTAGTAAGTAACAGCACTATGCAGCTTGCTCTTTCCCCCTATGTCTGGCCTTCTCTTGGGCAGACTCTTGCTGCATATTTGTCTTTCTAGAAAGGAATTCATAAAAAGGGCCTGTAAAACTTATCCTGAGCTCACAACAGATACAGAGAGGAGAGCTCCGGCTCATCTTCCGTTGAGACACACCCTGCAATGAGAACTGTGTGTTCTGAGGAGCAGTGCTGGAAAGAGACCCCCCTGGGTCCCAGACGGCTCTCGGCCCCGCCTTCACAAAAAGCCCTGCCCTGCTGTGCTGTGAACGGTGGGGCCTGGTAGGCATGGAACGCTGGAGCGAGGCGAATCCACTCCAGGGTGAAAAAAGCAGGGCTGAGCTGTGTCCAGAAGGGTCTGAAAGATGCTGGCCGAGTAGGGTTGCCAGGTGTCCGGTATTGGCCCAGACAGTCCAGTATTTGCGGCCTCTGTCCAGTAAAAAGAACAGAAAATACCGGACATGCAAAACGTCCGGTATTTTCTGTTTGTCTCGGATGGAAGACTGGACATTCCTCCCCTGCTGCGTCTGGTGGGGGCAGGAGGCGCGAGGAGCGTGGAGCATGAAGCCCTGGGATTTAAAGGCACAATGACCCTTTTTTTGGTGCAGGGTTTTTTTTTCCCCTTTTTCCCTGCCATGTTTGGTATTTTTTGGGAAACCTATGGCTGAGTCCACAAGGAGCTGAAGCAAGAGTAGCCATTTTTGAGGTGGATCCAGGCAGGCCCCAAGGGAAAGGGGCCTGACAGGCTCTGACAGAAAGACTGTGAGGGAGAGAGTCCAGTGCCCTAACTGGGAAGCTGTTTCCACAGTGACCGTGGCTGTAGGAAGCACTGAGGTCTCTGTTGTGGTCTCTGGGGGGCCCTAAGCTGGATCAGTCCCCATGGCCTAGACTGACAGTGGTCTAAAGGGCTGGGGAATGAGAATGGGGCCCTGGTAGGAACTTGGGGTTTTGCACAAAAGCTCTTCCAGAAGGGGAAAGAATGGTGACCGCCATACATAGGCTGAGCTAGCTCTCTGGCTTATAAATCCTGGGTCCTATTGTAACTTGAGCCCTGCTGTTGTGATTTCTGTGTTGGCAGAACCAGGGTTGCCAGATGGTTTAACAAAAAATATCGACCACTACCTTCCCCCCCGCCCCCTCCCCCAAAACACCGGGAAAACATTCTGTAGAGAAAAAAAAGGGGGGAGACCAAAGTCGTTGAGCGAAAAAAAAAAAGGGGCCCCGTGCGCCTCACTTCCTCACTCCTCTGCCCCTGCCATATGCGGCAGGGGAAAATTGTTCCCCGCCGGGCTTCTGTCCGAGGGAAACAGGAAATACCGGATGTTTCACGTGTACAGTATTTTCTGTTTTATTTACTGGATGAGAGACCCAAATCGGACAATCTGAATGAAAACCGGACACCTGGCAGCCCTACGAATACCCGCTGGTTAAATATCTTTTAAACTCAACTCCTAACACCAGGAGAAAAGCTCTTTCAGGGAAGGGTAATTGCTGTTAGGCCAGACAAGCTGTTTGCGTGAAACTTCCAGCCCTCTGACCAACGCCATTGCACGCCCTGCTTGAATACGAGGAAATAAACCGTGAAGATGAATCAGCCATTCAGCACGTAGAAAATTATAAGACAAAGTGGGCATGGAAATAAAGTGCCAGCAACTCTGCTTTGTACATGTTATGACAGACTAGGCAGGGATAGGTTGGAGGAAATTCCAATGACTGTGAATAAGGCCCAAATGCCTGTGGGGTATTTTCATTTCAGTGGGAGACATAATATCTTTGAGGTTCTGGACCTAACATTTTGTGCATAAGAAAATCTAATCTGATATGGATTTTCATATGATTCTTTCTTAGGTTGGAGATAAATTAATCACTAAGCTTTCTGATGGGTTGGCTACGTGTCTCTAATGAGGGTTGAAACTGCTTTAGTGACATATCTTACTAAGAAAAAAACATTAATTGATGCTTTTTAAATACATTTTCAATCCAATTGTTATCCCCTCCTACTTCTCCTGCCCATTGGATAGATACCCACTGCAAACCCTTTGTGCATATGTATGTGGCTAATACAGTAATTTCTTTTAATGAAAACAAATAGAAAAGAATCCATACAATTTTTTAAAAAGGAAACTGAATTCTCAACTTACTCTGGACAAGCACGGTAGCAAATGAATAGGCCTCACCATACAGATTTTTTACTTCAACGCTGTATTCAGCAGAGTCTTCCAAGGAGCATCTGGAAGAAATTACTTGTTTTCCCTTTTAAGCTTCAGCCTTTGTTGCTCCCACTCGAGGGTTAATTCTGATCAGTGCACACCAATATGGACTGGTCTTTAATCCCAAAAGTTAAAAAGGGAAGGCTTATATTTTGCCAAGTTTGTTGGGGGGTTCTGCAATGGGAGACTATTTGATTTAATGTGGATAAATGTAAAGTAATGCACATTGGAAAAAATGACCCCAACTACACATACAATATTATGGGGGCTAATTTAGCTACAACTAATCAGGAAAGAGATCTTGGAGTCATCGTGGATAGTTCTCTGAAAACGTCCACGCAGTGTGCAGCGGCAGTCAAAAAAGCAAACAGGAAGTTAGGAATCATTAAAAAAGGGATAGAGGTCTATAAAATCATGAGTGGTGTGGAGAAAGTGAATAAGGAAAAGTTATTTACTTGTTCCCATAATATAAGAACTAGGGGCCACCAAATGAAACTAATGGGCAGCAGGTTTAAAACAAATGAAAGGAAGTTCTTCACACAGCACATAGTCAACCTGTGGAACTCCTTGCCTGAGGAAGTTGTGAAGGCTAGGACTATAACAGGGTTTAAGAGAGAACTAGATACATTCATGGAGGCAAGGGTGGCCCTTGGCTATAGGCGGACCTGGCCACCACCTAGGGTGCCACTGCCCGGGGCGCCTAATGATGCTGTCACTGGGGCGCAGGAGAGGGCGCCGATCGCGCGTTCCGCCTGGGGCGCCAGCTGCCGCAGCCAGCCTCGGGCCACTCCTGCATGGAGGTTAACTCCATAAATGGCTATTAGCCAGTCTGGGTAAGGAATGGTGTCCCTAGCCTCTGTCAGAGGGTGGAGATGGATGGCAGGAGAGAGATCGCTTGATCATTACTGGTTCAATTCACTCTCTCTGGGACACCTGCCATTGGCCACTGTCGGCAGACAGGGTACTGGGCTGGATGACCTTTGATCTGACCCAGTCTGGCTGTTCTTATGTACACATCAAGGTCAATTATATTGTTCTTTTCATATACAAGGAATTATGAACATAAGTGGAGATTCGCCTACTAGCCAGTGTAAGGGTCTGTGCAACACATGAACCCCACTGAAGACCTGGCCTTGTATATATTACATACATCTCGTAGGCTTTGTGTTTCTGTAGAAGGGTGTCAGTCCATCCAGACGTGTACAGCACCCTAAGTACACTAGACACTAAGGTATCTCTAGTCAAGAGTGAGGAACAAATTAGAGTAAAGAGGGTCGGGGACAGATCAGGGATTTTGCATCTACCTCCATTTATACAGGTTGAAACAAAATAAAATAAGTCTAAAGCCTCAGCGAGCGATTAGCAGTATTGGGTCAACCTCACAGCGGACAGAGTTTTAGTCCTGGTCAACTGGGGCATGACAATGGAGAACTAGAAACCAGGTGAGTTTCCAGCCTTCCTTGTTCTGTAGAACTGACCTGGGAATCTGAGAAGAGCAGGCCCTGCGGTGAATATTACCTATTGATGTCTAGGGTGAGCATGCCAAACTCGTTCCGCATCCTGTACTTCCCAGCTGCAGCCAGTCGGGGATCAATGCGGACTCCATTTTTATACCTAGTAGAATGTGAAAGTGAGACACTGTTCAAGAGCTAACTGGTGTATTCAACAGCTTGTTTTAAAGTACCCCCCCACCCATCGAGGGGCGTGGACAGTTCGTTAGAGCGCCCCGATTCTCTGCCCCAACACAAGTTAGAGCAGTCTCTGGGCTGCTTTAATTTGATCCACCTGGTTCTGGTCCCATAGGGAGCGTATGCCAGCTGGGGATTGCCAGATCATATCACTCTCCCACCGCTCCTCCTGGCTGCTTCGTCCTGCCTCATGTATAGCCCCTGCTTGGGGTAATGGGGGAGGGGAGGAGGGACAGCAGCTTTTTTGGCTCCGACAGCTGCGGACATCTGTCTCCCATTGTGCTGCTGGAAAGGTACAAAAGGACCAGACTGGGGAAGCTAATTTACCCCCAATTACCTATTTGAAAGGTTGGCAGTAGGGGCGCTGTCCCCCGAGCAAAGACGTTTGAAATCAACATTTGACTGTTTCAGGCTTTTGAGGCCAGTCCATTTGACCCTCAAACTGAGCAGAGACCACAGTGTACAAGTGTGAAATGCTATCCCTGGCCTCCCTGTGGTTTCTGCTCAGCCCTTGCCGACAGCAAGATCTGTAGACAATCCCAAGAGATCTCAATGACATTTTCCACCCTATGGGTTTGTAACTAAGCAAAGCTCAGTAAACAGAAAAGAGTCATTTCATGTTTCTCAATGTGAGAGGCTGCGGCAGTTCAATCCCAAGCACGCACGGTATCCGGTGAGTCAAAAGCCTGTGTAGCGTGTCCCTGCACCTGTCTAATGCACTGGAAAAAAGTCGCATTGCTCTAAGGTGCTGGCCAATGACCAAGATTCATGAGCACAAGCTGGTGCTGGGGGGTTAGCACAAGGCCTCTTTCCAAAGCGAAGTTCTTTATGGGTACACAGGCTACACGGCTCTGGCAGCAGGGCCGACACTGCAGGGCGTGAATCACAGACGTCACACACTGGAAACGTTTGTAAGGACCAGGCTGTAAGAGCAAATGTCAAGCCTGTTCATACACCTGCCTGGAGCTGGTAAAGGGACAGAGGAATGAAGCCATGTCGGCTTGGGAGGCCGCCCCCCCTCTTACAAGTCTCCTAGTTCAGTTTGCCTGTTTGCATTATGGTCATTGTGCTGGACGTGGAGTGTAAGCACTTTGGGGCAGGGACTGGTTCTGTGCTTGTGCACCACTCCGCACACTGAGGTCCTGCTCCATGCTGGGGCTCCTCCTACACTGCACATAATAAAACAGCCCCTCAGGGTGGCATCTCTGCAGTGCTCCACCCCTGCCTGGAAGAAACAGAACCCCTGGGAACAGCTGCTTTTCTGCCACCGTCATGCAGCTGTTTTGGACTGTACGTATCTGGGCTAAGTCAACAACCAGTTTGTCCTCCTGGGATAAGCCATTTGCTAATGGGCCTGAGCCAGAGGCTATGTCTAGACTGCAAGCCTCTTTCGAAAGAGAGCGTCTAGACTGCACGCGGAACTTTCGAAAGAGCAAGCCGCTTTTTCGAAAGAAAGCACCCAGTGAGTCTGGATGCTCTCTTTCGAAGAAGCCCTATTTACATTCAAGAACGCCTTCGTTCGAAAGAAGCACTTTCGAAAGAAGGCGTTCTTCCTCATGAAATAAGGTTTACCGCCGTCGAAAGAAAAGCCGCGTTCTTTCGATTTAATTTCGAAAGAACGCGGCTGCAGTCTAGACGCAGGTGAAGTTTTTTCGGAAAAAGGCTACTTTTCCCGAAAAAAACCCTGAGTCTGGACACAGCCAGAGAGTTTTGAGTCCAATACAGGTTGAACCAGCATCCTTGGACCTGACTGGTGCTGAACCAGAGAATCTGCCGAACTACAGGGGCCTAGCAGCATAACCAACACTTCCACTGCTTACTGGGCTCATGGATGCTGGGGGTGAATTAGAGCTAAACAACAGCACAGAGCACGGAGAGCCAGGACTGGTGCCTGCAAACAAACTTATGGGACTGCGGGAAACTTGGCCCCACACCCACGATAAGTGGACATCCGGTGCACTAGAATCCTGCTGGACCATGGATGTTACCGGACCAGAGAGTGCCGGACTAGAGAGGTTCAGCCTGCTCTTCCCAGAGTTTGAGGCTGGTAAATCTCCGACAAAACCCCCAAACTTTTGGGATTTATCTTGACATCTATCAAAGCTGTTAGCGAGAGATCATAAATTACTTTAAGGGACTGTAAGAGGGCTCCTCCTGGGTACCCGGATCTATTTGTGCCAGGGGTTCTTTTCCTGCTGGTCTGAGGCCGAGGAGAAAGCTTTAGGAAGCAGTCTTGGTGGGTGTTCAGTTCTAATACACAACTATGAAGGCCCCAGACCTATCCCTAGCTTTGCTCAGAGCGCCTCTCATGTACCGCGCCTTGTTTGAGTGGGAGCAGATGGTGCAGCAGCAGCATGGGAGGAAAAGGGAGGCTCTTCCTTGTATTCCAGATGAGGGAAAGGGAAGGTCTGTTTTCTGCTCCCACATGGAAATCAGCGGAGGGAATAACCAGCTGGGAAGGAGGACGAGCATCAGGCCTTTTTGCAACGTGTGGCAATTCCACAACTACCCATTTGCAGGCACCAGGGTCTGGGTAGCAGGTTTTGTTGTTCATCTCCATTGCTCGCACCTTCCAGCACCTTCACAGTTAAGGCCCATGTAGAGAGGTATATAGGCATCTACCCCCGGCTTGCACATACCTGCTGCATCCTGAGCCTAAGATCACTTACATCAGCAGCAATCAGGAGTAACCCACTGACGTGCCTAGAATTCCATCCCGAAGCTGGTCTTCCTCGCACGGCTGAGCCGTGCTGTGGCTCTTACCGTTCAGACAGTTGCGCCTAACTTTAGCTCCATTGGCCCTGGGTTCCATTCCCACTGCTGACAACGCTCTGCAGTACTGGGTGAACTGTTGCTACTGAACTCGCACAACTGCTGAGACTCCATTTCCAGCAGGAGCGAGGTCTCTGATAAACGCCGTGTCAGAAAGCGCACTACTGGGATGTGTAAGGAAGGCCGCAGCGCAGGTAGACAACAGGGGCTTGCTGGCAAAGCTCCTGTTTGCTTTAGAAGTGCAGGATCTGGCCCCTTACCTCACTCTGGCCTCAGCAAAGGAGAGAGGATCTGGCCCTTCTGCCTTTACTTTGAGAAGGTGAAGTGTGAGGCCTTGTCTATACTTACGGGAAGATTCACTCTGGAGATGGATCTTCTGGGGTTTGATTTAGCAGGTCTAGTAAAGACCTGCTAAATCGAATGCTGAGGGTGCCCCCAGTACTCCACCTACTGCAGAGGGGCTTCTGCAGAAATATGATTTAAGGTACGTCGACTCCAACTACACAATTCTTGTAGCTGGAGTTGTGCATCTTAAGCCAAATTTCTCCACCACTGTGGACCCGGTCTTAGTGTTTTTTAAGGCCCAGGGGATCCTCTCCCTGGGATTCAGCCTGTCAACACCCCGCAGCCATAAACCAACAATCATCTGAATATTTGTGCCCACAGCTCTTAGCATCTAACATTTCACAATCTTCCAGGCGACCCAATGCATTCTCCACTGAGTTAAAAGGGGCTAATAACACCTGCCAAAAAGCCAGGCGGCTGCACTAGCCGCTTTACACGTGGGGACAATTGGTATGAATGAACTAAATGGAAGGATAGGAATCTCTTTGGAGTCTAGTTTACCCAGAGAGGCTGTGAGGATCAAAGAAAACCTCCACTGGATTGTGAATATTTTCCCTTGAGCTGGAGGGAGCAACCAGTTTCATAGCCCCAAAGGGTGTATCTTCTGCTTATGCCCAGAATTAATACCACAACAGGACAAGTTTCCCTGACCCCTGCCACAGAAGGGTGCACCAGCCCTGCTGCAGGCAGGTCTTTGGAACAACCCCCCAATTGTTCTCTCTCTCCATGGCCCACTGGACCCTGAGCTTCTCTGCCAAGAACGCCAGAGGGCTGGTTTCTACTCCTGCCGGTGCCAACGTTTTCGGATATTGACACCTTGTTCAGGGGCAGTCACTCATTTTGCAGCAAGTCACTGGATGGTAACAACTGTCAGCTACTGTTCCCAGCCATTTGGGCAGGGGATTGGGAGCCCCGAGCCGGAAGTGAAAGCGTTCTCTGTATTTTCCCAAACCATGCTTCCCTCCCTCCGCTTTGGAGAGCTTTGCACTCCTGTTTGCACACGTGCTTTGTAACCACCAGGTCAGCACCAGTCACCGCCCCCAACTCACTCACCAGGTGACCTGTGGTGGAGGGGAAGCCAGGATGGTACATGTGAGTTTCACCCCCATTCTCGTCCAGACAGCATGAGCTCTGAGCGGGATCCAGATCATGGGAGGCCGGCTCGAAAGCAGCTCGATGTACTCCTTCTGCCGGCGGGCCTTCTGCAGAGCCTAGGGCACGCATCGGACGGACAAAGACAGCAGGTCACATTCTAAGGGCACTGGGCATTCCGGCTATCCACCGAAATGGCCAACCCCTTTGCCACTCTGACCTCCTTGCGCAAGGTCTTCCGATTGGCCTTCACCCGCAGGAGCCTGCAGTTCCTAATGACGGCCTCCTCCAGCCTTTCCATTTCGTTCCCAAACCGAACTCGCTTCTGGCCCCGCTCCTCCAGCTCTACGGTGGTGGCTTCTCTTCTCAGCTTGGATTCCCTGCAACAGCCAAGGTTAAGAAAACAGCCGCTGTCAGGGAAACCCCTGGTAGATTTTCACTGCACACACGCAGGCCTACGTCAGGACAGGTCTGTATGCTGCACGCATCAGTGTGCACTCAGTGAGCACCAAAGGGATCTTGTTATCACGGACACTAAAAGCCAGGCAGTGCTGCTGTATAGGTTGGGCACTAGGGCAACCAGAGGTGAGGGTTAGGGTCAGGAGTCGTGTGTAGGGTAAGAACACAAGAATGGCCAGACTGGGTCAGACCAAAGGTCCATCTAGCCCAGTGTCCCGTCTGTCGACAGTGGACATGCCAGGTGCCGCAGAGGGAGTGAACAGTACATGGAATTTTCAAGTGATCCCTCCCCTGTCGCCCACTCCCAGCTTCTGACAAACAGAGGCTGGGGGCACCATTTCTACTCATCCTGGCTAATAGCCATCGATGGACCTGTCCTCCATGAATTTATCTTGGATGTCACAACATCCTCTGGCAAGGAGTTCCACAGGTTGACTATGCATCACATGAAGAAAAACTTCCTTTTGTTTGTTTTAAACCTGCTACCTATTCATTTCATTTGATGACCCCTAGTTCTTGTGTTAGGGGAAGGACCTTTCCACACAAGTCATGATTTTATAGACCTCTATCATGTCTGCCCTTAGTTGTCTCTTTTCTTAACTGAAAAGTCCCAGTGTTATTAATCTCTCCTCATATGGCTGCCATTCCATACTGTTAATCATTTGTTGCCCTTTTCTGAACTTTTTTCAATGCCAAGATATTTTTGAGACGAAGCGATCACATTTGCACACAGTATTCAAGATGTGGGTGTGCCATGGATTTATTATATAGAGGCAATAAGATATGCTCAGTCTTATTCCTTATCCCTTTCTTAATGATTCCCAACATTCTGTTTGGTTTTTTGGCTGCTGCTGCACACTGAGTAGATGTTTTCAGAGAACTATCCATAGTGGCTCCAAGATTTCTCTTTTGAGTGGTAACAGCTAATTTTACTCATTTTATACACATAGTTGGAATTACGTTTTCCAATGTGCATGACTTTACATTTATCAATGTTGAATTTAATCTGCCATTTTGCAAGCCAAATGTTTTACCCTATAGCAACCCTGCATTTCAGAATATTTCAATTTGTGGAAAAAAATCCAAAATTTTGTCCTTTTGCAAACATTGGCTGATTAACCCTGAGCATCCTTTGGGTGGCTAGTAACTCCTAAAGCTATTGTACAGTGGAGAAACTGAGGTACTGAGCAGCTGAGTAACTTCTCCAAGGCTACATCACAAACAGTTTAGGGATGGGAAACAGAGGCAGGGAGAAGTGACGTGGTCTGACGACAGGCTGTCACTTACAGAGCTGGGGTCAGACCCAAAGAGCCGTGGTTCATAAGACCTTAAAGACACTCTACCACATATGCAAACGGCCTTGCTTGGCTAAGCCTATGGCAGTAAGATTACAAGGTCTATTGTTGGTCCAAATTAGAATTACCATGACTCCGTACATGGTACACGTGAGCTGTGTCTACATTGGCACCCCTTTCCGGAAAAGGGATGCTAATGAGACCAGTCGGAATTGCAAATGCCGCGGGGGATTTAAATATCCCCCACGGCATTTACATGAACATGCCTGCCGCTTTTTTCCGGCTTGGGGTTTTGCTGGAGAAAAGCGCCAGTCTAGACGGGATCTTGCGGAAAATAAGCCCTTTTCTGGAAGATCCCTTATTCCTACTTTCAAGTAGGAATAAGGGATCTTCCGGAAAAGGCTTTATTTTCCGAAAGATCCCGTCTAGACTGGCACTTTTCTCTGGCAAAGCCCCGAGCCGGAAAAAAGCGGCAGCCATGTTCATGCAAATGCCGCGGGGGATATTTAAATCCCCCGCGGCATTTGCAATTCCGACTGGTCTCATTAGCATCCCTTTTCCGGAAAGGGGTGCCAATGTAGACACAGCCGTGGTGTAAATCTAGCCCATTACAGACACACACTATCCAGCGTCATGTCAGACCTACCATGAGAGTTCTGAGGTCAAGGCCAGGGCAGCTGCTATGGAGAATTCTGAAGCGGTGAAGGACTCTTCCTCCTCACTTCGGCGGCAGGCACAGGAAAAGAATTCAGGTCACATGGAACAGACTCAAAAAGAAAATGATCCCTGGAACTGTAAGTGCCCAGGGCCAACAGTCACATTTGCAAAAGCACCTCACTGAGGCACCTAAATCCCACTTCAAAAACTGACTTGGGCATCTAAATCCCTTTAAGGATTGGGCCTTAGAAGCTTCCTGGTGAGTCAATCAGAATTAGGCTCCTAGGTACTCAGGTGGTTTAGATGCTTTTGAAAATACTCCCCCTAGTCGACTTTGCTTGGCCCTCTTGCCGAAAGCGCGCAGACCGCCCAGAGCCACCTTACGGAAATAACGTTCAGCCGTGTCCAGCCTGGGCTGGATTTGCAGCAGTGAACAAGAGGACAAAGGGTCCCTGGCCCAGCTGCTCATCGGCGTTTAGGCCCGTAGCTCTCACTGAGGCAGGGAAATGCAAATCTGGCACCCTGCTGCCTCCAACTCAAAGCATAAGAGAGTGGAGGACCAGGCTGTAGAGTGTGTTCCGAGTTCTAACTTGAACACCAGATCTAGTGCAGTAACCCCGCGGAGAAAGGCTGACAAAGGCATTTGCACTCATTCCCCTTATTGTTTCTCCTTGGATGTTTACAGGTGAAATCTGGACCTTTACGACCTTTTCCTCCACATCGGCAGATTGTTGTAGGCTCTCTCATGGCTGAGGCTGTGCAGACAGGAGTCCGTGCAGTCGAGTCTCTCGGGAGGGCTGAGCTGCACAGCCTGGTTTATTATTGTAGAGTTGCCTATTTGGGCTGGCGTCCACACACAACGGCTTACAATGACAGGCAGGGCTTATGAGCTCTGGGACCAACAGACTGTCTTGTTATTGTACGGTTGCCCATAACATCAGCTACTCTTTCCACACAGCGTCATCTATGGATTTATTTCATCTGCCAGTCTGTGAGGGGTTGGGATGCGGGGTTCATAGACTGGCACACACTGTGTAGGGCAGGCAATGAAGACTCGCTGGCTTATGTGAAATGATGGGCCAGATTAGGCAGCACAGAGTGTAGCTGGGTGCATCGTCTGAATAACTGAACATGGCTTGCTTCTTGTTTCACGCACTGATCGCCCCTGGACTCACCACTAGCCCCTCGACTCACCTGGACCTGAACTTTGCCTTTCTCGTGGCGGACGTCATCTGCAAGTTGCGCTGTCTCTCCTCCTTCTGCTCCTCCTCGCTGCTCCGAAACAGAGTCCGAGTTTCCATGGCGAGGGCTCGCAGAAGTAGCTTCCCTGCCAGAACAGAGTTATACGCACCTTGAGCTGCCTTCCCAAGGGGCTGCCTCAGACAGACCATGACAACCCTTTACTGGCTCGTACCAATAAGCCCCACCAATGGACCAGTCTCAGATTTTTAAGGCAGCTACTGTGGCAAATGGCTGGTGCTACTGGGGTAGGTCCTTTGGTGGGGAGGGTCAGGGCGCCACCACTAGCCCCTATTCTTGGGCACTGGGCGCTCTGCTCATGCCCTAGTAGGAGAGAGAGGGGAGTGGGGAAAGGATCGGGGTCTGAGCTCCAGTCCTTCTTAATCCCTGTCGGTTTCTTAGCCTCTTCCCTCTCTGGCAGGGTTACCCTCAGTCCTTGATGCTGGGGGAGGGTCTCCATTTCTCTGGTCTTTCAGCAACACACCTCCAAACACCAGTCCTCACTCCACCAATCTGCCCGAGGCAGGGGGAGGAGGGGTATTAGGTTCCTGACAAGGCCTTAATTGGCAACAGGTGCCTCAATTAACCTGTAGCAGCCTTCCTGATCTACAGCACTGCTTCTCAAAGAGGGCCGAGGGACCGCACTGCATTGTTTACCTAAAGGCTCTGTGGCCATGGAGCCCTTCCCACAGCTCCCATTGGCTGTAAACAGTGAGCCAGAGCCAATGGGAGCTGCGCGGCCTGCTTTGAGAAACACTGGTCTACAGAGAACCACATATGAATTAGCCCAGGACGTATGTATCTCCCCTCTGATGCTGCGTCACACTACTCATTTTCAGTGCCTGAGCCTGTTTGCTTGCAAATGTGGGATTCCCATTTTAAAAACCAAAGCTAGCATGGGCCTTAGAAACAAAAACAGTGGCTTTTGTGTCAGAGGCTTAAAAAAAAAAAAAAAAAAGCAGGTGGGTATGGGAAGGTGGAAGAGAAGAAAGCAAAATCCAGTCACTGCTCCTTCTCCAAATCCACCCTGAACCAGCACTGTTGTTTTATAGCCTACTAGATGTACCAGACCTTTCTTCATCAGCTTTTCTTGGGTCCTCAAATACATTTTGTTTTTCTTCATTTAAATCATTGTTGGGGGTGAGGGGTTCAGTGTACAGGCTGCCTTGGAAAGAGGACAACCCCAGCCCTCTGTCACTGCAGCAGCTTCGGGCCAGGCGAGAAGCACTTCTCTATGGCTGCTGCAGCTGCAGTGGACACAGCCGGGGGAGGGGTGCATGTCCAGACAGACACACAGACAGACAAACTCTTTGAAATATATAGCAGATAAGTGTCCCTTTCTACACCCCTGCCAGCTCAAAGGGGTTAGAGCTGTCTGAGTCTCCATCTCTGCCCCTTTGCTGCCCCTTGTGGTTATTCTGCAGTATCACTGTCCCTGCTAGCAGCCTCCTCCCTTTCATTTTATGAGAAACAATCATATTCCAGGTACACCATGGCAGAAGTTCTGCAGCAATCAAAGTTAAACTTGTTCAGTCTTTTTTTAAGAAAACCCCTCTTCACTCTGTAAGCCACAGAATTTTCACTAACCCAGCCAAAGAATCTTTCCTTGCTTGTTCTCTTTGCTAGAGGCGGAAATTTGGGTGGCAAAAAATGTGACTACTGACACTAGTCCATTTCTTCCCATTGGTTGCCTAAAAAGCTAAGCTATCCTTGCTGCCATACATGCCTGGGGAATCAATGGAACCAAATTGTAAAAGGGTATCCCTCCCTCATCTACCCGCCGACAGCAACCCACTGCATGAGAGCAAACAAAAGACCTTCAGAGAGTGACTCTGATGTAACTCAGGACAGGTCTGTACGAAAGGGGCATATCGTAATTTGACCTTCAACTCCAGCTATGTTAATTATGTACCTGGAGACAATGTACCTTGATTCCAGTTTCCCCACCATCCCCACTGTGGGAAGCTGATGAGAGCAAATGGTCCCAATGGTTTCTCTTACTCCTCTGAGTTCGATTTAGTGGGTCTCTCCTAGATCCACTAAATTGAGCTCCAGAAGATGGATTGCAGCAGGGTCAATCTTACCCGAAATAAAGACATGGCTTCATACATTGGAGCAAAATCAGGCTGGGTCACATCCAAACAACAGGATTCAGTGGATGGGTAGGCAGAATCTTTGCTTGTAATAGATTTGGGGCTGAATTTTCAAGCCTAAGTCCCATGTTCCTAAATGACTTAGATCTGTAGACCCCTGAATTTGAATGATTTTCAATAAGGTCTAGGATCCTAAGTGACTTCTGAAAAGACGATTCAGCTGCTTTGGAAAATGTTACCCTTGTTAAATAATATACCTTGACTAGCCATGCAGTTAAACCTGTCACTGGTTCATTTCAAAGACAGGGTTTTTTCCCTAGCTGTTTTAGTTTAGCTTTTAGTTTATTGCACTCCTAATTCTAAAACATTATTCAGATAGGAAGATACCATTTTTACTATAGTTATGTTGCATTGGTCTAATGCTTTTAATAAGGTGTTTGAATGTAAATAATCTGCTTAAAACCCCCCAGATGAAAACTTAATTGTTATAGTGAACTTACAATATCCCAGCATGCAAAGTAAACTGTAGAATTATCATATCACTGTTACATCAGTAGAACACAAAATTTAGAAGAGACTTCTCTAGACAGCAAAAGAAAAGAAAACCCTCCCCATTTCTCAGAAAAATGCTTCTCTGGTCTTTAAAATATGTTCTGAACTAGATTTCAGCTGGAAAATGACTATAAGGCAGCAGATGTGTGTTTCCACTGCCTACACATAGATATTGTTTCACGTTTGCTTTTTTTTAGTTTAGATTTTTTTCCTTGATTGTTTTGAACTGACATTCAATGCTCTGCAACCACAGATCTGCTACAGAGACACAGAGCTATGGCAGGCTAATGATTTCCAGTCCAAATCAAAATGGTCTATTTAGAGAAAAACTACAAGTGAATGGATTCTTGCTGGAAAAACAGTCTCACAAGGAAAAGGCTGGCAGAAAACTCAGCAGCTCTTTCAGGCAGGATACATGCAAGAAGCATGAATTTTCGCCAAGTGCAATGATGGATTGCAATAGCTGATGCTGCTGTCCAAGACTTATAAGACTTTTGTAAACAGTAGCTTACTTACAGATAAGACAGATCCACCCAGAGGCGCCCCAGAGAGAGTGGCTGTCCTCAAGAAAGAATAAGGACAAAGGACCGTTTCCTCTTCTCGGCTGATGACATTAAGAATGACTGTTCCCAAAAGAATGTGTCCTATGGGTATGAGCCCACCCTGGAGTCTTAAATATAGCTTCATCGTACCATAGCATTGCAATGACAATGGGGAAAATGATCCAGGGCTTACAGTGCTCAGCTGGACATGGCACTGGCAGCTACTTGCAAAACTCTTTTCTAGTTCAGACAAATTCATGCTATTGTCAAACAGCGAGGGGAGAGGGGGAAGGTAGATCTGAAGGCATGGGAACAAGAGTTACCCATTGCCCATTTAAAACTGGCAGAATTTCACGAAGCCTCTAAAATGAATTAGAAGGGTTTAATCTCCCCACGGGAGACACTCAGGTGTTACTGGGTAGCTGCTGAGTAACTGTGAAACACAACGAGCAGCCCTGTGCCACCATTAGATGTATTAGCTCATGAGCTTCAAGGGTAAAACTCACTTCATCAGATGAGCTGGAGTGGAAAATACAGAATCCAGGGTATGTAGAGCAGCAAAAGAAGTTACCTGTCCATTGTAGGACTAGTGTTAATGAAGCAAATTAAGTCAACTGGGCGTGTCCCATTCACATTTGATATGGAGATGCAAATATCAGAAGTGGGGAAATTGCCTTTGTAGTGTGTTAACCAGTTAAGATCTTTGTTCAAGCCTAAATTGACAGTATTGAACTTGTAATTGACAAATTCAGCTGTCCCCCTCTGCAAGTGATCAGATTCCTTGGTAGAAGGACAGCTACTTTTAAATTCATTAGTGAATGTCCAGGGAAGATAAGTTTGCAGATACCACTAAGATGGGAGGGATTGCGAGTGCTTTGGAGGATGGGTCATAATTCAAAGTGATCTGGACAAACTGGAGAAATGGTCTGAGGTAAATAGGATGAAGTTTAATACGGACAAATGCAAAGTGCTCCACTTAGGAAGGAACAATCAGTTTCACTCAGAATGGGAAGCGACTGTCTAGGAAGGAGTACGGCAGAAAGGGATCTGGGGTCATAGTGGACCACAAGCTAAATATGAGTCAACAGTGTGACACTGTTGCAAGAAAAGTGAACATGATTCTGGGCTGCATTTACAGGAGTGTTGTGAGCAAGACACGAGAAGAAATTCTTCTGCTCTACTACTCTGAGCTGATTAGGCCCCAATTAGACTAGTGTGTCCAGTTCTGGGCACTACATTGCAAGAAAGATGTGGAGAAATTGGAGAAGGTCCAGTGAAGAGCAACAAAAATGAGTAAAAGTCTAGAGAACATGAGCTATGAGGGAAGGGTGAAGGAACTGGGCTTCTTTAGATTGGAAAAGAGAAAATTGAGAGGGAACGCGATACGGTTTTCAGGGATCTAAAAGAGTGTCACAGGGAGGAGGGAAGGAAATTGTTCTCCTTGGCTTCTGAGGACAGGACAAGAAGCAATGGGCTTGAACTGCAGCAAGGGAGATTTAGGAAGTGTTTCCTAATGTCCAACCTATCTGTCAGGGGGGTTAAACACTGGAATAAGTTGCCAAGGGAGGTTGTGGAATCTCCATCACCAGAGAAATTTTAGAGCAGGTTAGACGGACGTCTCTCAGGGCTGGTCTAGACAGCGCTGGGTCCTGCCGTGAGGGCAGGGGACTGGACTCGATGACCTCTCGAGGTCCCTTCCAGACCTAGTGTTCTATGAAAATGTCCCCTACAGGGTTCTGTGTGTTGCCATCCCTGAGGTCTGATTTGTGTCTGTTTATCCTTTGTCACGGAGACTGTCCTGTGTGGCCGAGATCCATGGCCGAGGGGCATGGCCGGCACTTGATGCCACAGATCACACTAGTGGATGTGCAGTTGTATGATCCCCTGATGTTAGGACTGAT